GGGCCGGCCTCACCCAGCAGGGACCCACCTGGCCCTGCGCTTGCGCACCCTCCGCTCGTGCTCCGCCTCCTCGTAGTAGTACTCGTTGTGGCTGTTGTCCCGCCGCCGAGCTGCTGCGGCGATCACAGCCCGGGACTGGCCCGTGGAGTTGTTGGTGCTGTTTTCTGCGCACGAGCAGGAGAGACAGGCACGGTCACTTCAGGGCATGTTCGCTTCCCATCCCAGGAAGTCTGGAGACAGCAACCGGACGCGTCCGGAGGAAGCTGTGCCCACCCCCTGGTGGTACCGCCGCTCCCAACCCTCCCGGCCACAGCTGGGAGAGGCCCACAGGTCGGCCGCCGGGAGCGCCCCGGAGGGCGGGAGTCCTGCTGCACATGCTCCTCCTGGTGCAGGAGGACCTGGAGCTCAGAGAGCTGAGGGCTTAGGACCAGGGCTGCTGAGCAGATGCAGAGACGTCAGAACGGGGGGCGGGGGGACACGCCACAGCGTAAAGGGACAGCAAGGAGAATCAGCAGCTAACACCAGCCACCTGGAGTCCAGGGCAATGACAGAAAAAACAGGGCTGGGGAAAGCAAGGGAAGAGGCTGAGAGAGAAAGAGCGAGCAGGTACAGAGCCCTGCTCGGGGACGGACGGGAGGGCAGGGGAGCAGGGCCGCTCACCCTCTCCGAGGGAATACACCTTGAAGCCAGACACTTTCTTGGCCAGCACGGACTTGGGCAGGTTGAGGAGGGCAGGGTTGTAGACAGGGAAGTCATGGTAATACTTCTCCAGGATCCACACTGCCACGCGCTGGATGCTGTGGGGGAGATGGCAGGAGGGGGAGGCAGAAGGGACAGACAAGGGGTGCCGGGGGGAGGGAGACATCAGGGCAGGTCGGCAGGGCCAGAAAGCACAAGGGCAGGGACAGGCTGCTCCCAAGAAGCCTGGCTCAGGGCCTGAGGTCGACTTACCAGGCTCCCAAGCCTTCCCCAGGGCTGGGCGTGCTAGTCCTTCCCTGCTGTGCTGAAGCCCAGCCCAGGGGAGAAAGGGCACTGGGCCTGGGTCCCCCACAAGGGTCACCTCACCCCCTCCAAGAGTCCCCCAAGATTACCTCCAGGACCAGGAGGTGCTGCTGATACTCCGTATGGCCTGGGGGGGGGGGCGTGCAGAGGAACTCCCCCGTTATCTTTTCCTCTGGGGGTTCCTCCTCCGGCCAGCTCATCTCAGTGACCACTCACTTGAGGGCTCACCAAGGCTGTGCCTCCAAGAAGGCCAGAAAAGTGATTCCCAAAAGCCCCCGTTCATGCCCCTTTGGTCCAGCCCTCTTTAAGGTCCCCACTGGTTCACTATTCTCTCCCCACTGCTAACTCCCAGTCCAACCTGCCCCGGGACCCTGCGCTGTGCAAGTACTGCACGGCGGCCTACGGCCCTCCAGCTCCTCCCCGCCCGCCCCACCGGCTCTCTCACAGCCCTGCAGGCCCCTCCTCCCAGGCCCGCGCCCACACCTGAGATGGCCCACGTTGTAGAAGCGGCTGGCGCCGTCGGTGGAGCGCACGACCTTGAGCGTGAACTGCGGCTGCAGCTGGCGCAGCTCCAGCAGGACCACGGCCAGGTAGTGCACGAAGAGCAGGGCGTCCACCAGCGACACGGCGAACTGCACCACGCCCTGGTAGCTGCGCTCGCGGGCGTCCAGGATGCGCACGCCGTAGAAGAGCCAGTAGGACACCACGAGCAGGAAGACGAGCACCATGAGCAGCGCGCGCAGCACGAACACGCGGGGCAGCGAGGCCTTGGGGCGGCGGAAGAACAGCGCCCAGCTGCCCAGCAGCAGGATGAGCAGCTTGAAGGCCACGGAGATGAAGAGGCCCTCGCAGGCCGTCCCACAGGGCTCCAGCTCCTCGCGCCACAGCAGCGGGGGCAGCAGCAGGAAAGCCAGTGGCGTGAGAAAGGAGAGCAGCGCCAGCGTGGCCCCGGCGGCCACGCCCAGGTGACGGGAGCAGTCCAGCGGAACACTGTCCTCCATGTCCTTGGCGATGCGCGTGAGGTCATCGTGGGAGATGCTGTGCTCGGAGGTGCCCGTTACTACTGTGGTAGTCTCCCCCCAGTTGTCATCCTACAGCAGGAGGAGCCGAAGCCCGGAAGGGGGGGAGGGGAGGGGAGGGGGAGGGGAGGAGGAAGGGGGAGGACGGGAGGGGAAGGGAGGGGGAGGGGAGGAGGGGGAGGGGGAGGGGAGGAGGGGGAGATAGGGGAGTGGAAGAGTTGAGACGAAAGGAAGGGGAGGAGGGGGAGGGGAAACGGAGGGCAGACGCAGGGCAAGGGCAAGAAAGAGAAGAGAGGGCCATCAGCCCATATGCAACCACCAAAATATTTACTGAGCTCCATTCTGTGTTCAAACTTGGTCTCTGCAGGGCTGGCGCCTCTGAGACCTGGACCCTCAGGGCACACAGTAGCAAGCTCGGGAAAGAACATCAATGCCCAGATCCCACCCAACTGGACAACCACCTTTTTTTAAAAAACCAGATGAGGGGCGCCTGGGTGGCCCAGTCATTGGGCATCTGCCTTCCGCTCGGATGACGATCCCAGAGTCCTGGGATCAAGTCCCGCATCGGGCTCCCTGCTTGGCAGGAAGGCTGCTTCTCCCTCTCCCACCCCCCTGCTTGTGTTCCCTCTTTGGCTGTCTCTGCCAAATAAATAAAATCTTTAAAAAAAATAAATAAAAACCAGATGATTTTATCGTTCATCCAAAATTGAGAATCACCGAATTCGCTTAACAATCTAGCCTAAGGCCTGTTTACTCATCATGTGATCTGTGGACCAGCAGTGTGGATGGACATCTCCTGGGAGCCTGCTGGAAATGCAGCTTCTCAGGCCCCACCCCACACCGACGCACCAGAATCTGCATGTTAACAAGACCCCCGTGAATCACTCAGACGTTCAGAGGCTGGCAGGGTGCGCTGAGGCACCCAGAGGAGGAGCAGGGTGCGCGTGCCAGGAGCAGAGCCAGGCATGGCCAGCTGGAGCCTGAGCAGGCTACCTGCAAAGTAGGCTAAGCCAGAAGCACCTGTTTTCCAGACCTCAAGCCACTCAAGGTTTCTGAGTAAGGGAGTGACCTGAAAAAAAGCAGTGTGGCAAAGGGAAGAGGCCCCCGGAGGGCAAACAGGGAGAAGGCCAGTGATCAGTGTAGGGCATGGGCGACGGGCCACCTTTAGGGCCACCCTGGGTCTCTGGTCTGCCCAGAAGGCAAGTGATCAGTGTAGGGCATGGGCGACGGGCCACCCTTAGGGCCACCCTGGGTCTCTGGTCTGCCCGCAGCACAGAGCCTGCCTGTCCCTGGAGGCAAGGGTAGACAGGCTGAGGTCCCCAGTGTCCTTCTGAGTATGCTTCACTCGAGCAATTTCTGCAGAGGCCAGACACCGTCCCACAGAGGAGCCCCAAGACCACCAGTAGCCATCAGTGCCTGTACCCTTCATGGGGACACGGGATACAGAGTCTCGGCACTAAGGCACCCACTGGGGAGTGTAGGAGATGCCTGGCAGGGTCAGTGATCAGGGGCTTCCCGAGGACAGGAATAGAGTCTGATCTGATGAAAGAAAGTGGGCGCACTGACCACTTTCAGCTCGAGCAATTACATCAACTCCTCACTCTAGGCTGACCACGCCCCCCCGACACGCTGCCCGCCCTCTCCAAGCATCAAGGGTTTGTAGCCCCTCCCCCACAGCAGGTGGGCTGACCATGTCTGGGGTCCCTCCAAGAACTCAGGAGGCCAGGTCTCAGGGAGAGGACAGGACGGAAAGAGGGAGGAAGAGTATTTCCCTTAGGTACTCATCTGCTCCCAAGACCCAGAAGTCCCAACGTCAGTCACGGGGATTTCTTGTGAGGGAAAAGGGGCCGGGAGTCTCCAGCCCGAGATGCCCCCAGGAAGGAAGAGCGGGAGGCACGAGACTCGGGCGACCTCAGTCACCTCAAATCCTGCCTCTGCGCCTCATCCAGCACTGCGTTCTGCCTGCTGACCTCCCTGCTGGTGAGCACAGTGGGCCAGAGGTTGGAGCAGGAGCAACCTGTTCACCGCCGCCCCCCTCCAGTGACAGGGTCCTTCGGGGCGCCCCCTGCTCCCCCTCCTTTCTCCACAGACTCCGCCCACCCCTGCTGCCCTCCAGACCCAGGCGATGCGATTCTGCAGGCCGACACCAGGGGGCGCGGCAGTGCCCACGCCTGGGGCTCAAGGAAAACTCAGCGCAGCCCTCCCTCCCAGACCCCCCCCACCGCGCCCTCCTGCCCCGGTTCCCGGCCCACCGGACTGGCCAGGCAACGCCCATGACACAGCCCAAGCCACTTTACCTCTCCGACGTAAGGAGGAAGAGGCTGCGGCTTCCAAAGGGATCCCTACTGAAATTCCCTGAATTCTACTGAAGCAGGGTCCTACCTTGGGACACCAAGCGGAAGGAAGTGTGACACAAGATGCCCTCCCTTGATAGGGCCTCTGTCCGAAGAGACCGGGTCTCCAGGCCCCTCCCCACCGGACGGACCCCCAACTTCACGGAGCAGCCTGACATCACCTGGCCCGGACCCCGGGCCCGCAGATGCTCACCCGCTCATCCCCCCGCGTGGACTCGTTGTCCAGCAGGGGCTCCCCTGGAGCCTGGATCGTCACCGACTTGTCCCCGCGGCTCCCATCTCGGCTCTTAGAGCGGTGCCGGTCCCGGCGGTCCCTGCGGCAGGAGGCCAGGGGAACGGGCACAGAAGGTCAGAGGGGGGACCTGGGTCTTCTCAGCAGCCCCTGTGCGCGCCCACCTCTCAAGCACCCCCAACACACCCTCCAGCACCCACATCACACCCATGCCTGCCCACCTGTGCTTGCGGGAGCTGCGGGAGTGGCCCGACTTGTAGGAATAGCCCGAGTACTGGGACTCGGTGTCCATGGCGTCTGAACGCCGCGCCTTATAGCGCTCCAGGGCCACAGGCTGGGGCCTTTTGGGGGGCCCCACAGCCACCTCCTTCAGCACCGGCTTCTTCAGGCCAAGAGGCACCTTCAGGAAGTCAACCGTCACCCTGAGGGACTCTATTTTGCTGGACGAGTGGGCTTGTCTCAGAGAAAATCAAGCGGCGCGCCTGAGAAAAGGAAGCAGCTGATTAGAAGTAGCTGGAGCTCCCTGTGAGGTCAGGGCAGAGAGGAGGACAGTCCCCAAAGGGTAGCTGCAGGAAGCCTAGCCACAACCTCAGAATATTCCATCCAGGTTCCCGCTCTGCCCAGCGGGCCCACTTGCTCCAGTCCTGCCTCCTAGAAGGAGCACCCCTCGGCTGTGCCAACGGGGTGCGGGGAAGACGGCCAGCAAAGGCCAGTAGGAACGACCCGACCCTGGACACCCCGGAGCTGAGAACCAGGGCGACGCTTTCCTTATTCTCAGCCAGGAAAACCATGGCTCAGAGAGGGCAGGTTCTGGCCAGGCTGACAGGCTGGACCAACGGAGACCTCACGCAGCAGAAACCCGCTAGCTTCTATAGAGGCCTCTCCTTCCCCCGACTCTCAACTTCTGAGGATGCCCACAGAAAGAGGGCTCTTGTCACCACCTTGCCAACACCTCCATCAAACAGACCTGTAGCCACGGGCCAGGTCAGCCTGGCTGCTCCCCTTGAGGCTCGGGGTGTGTGTGTGTGTGTGTGTGTGTGTGTACTAGGGGACGAGGTCAAGAACGGTAACCATGGATAATGTTGGGGTGAGTGGGGAGAAGGCAGCAGAAACCATTCAAAAGCCTAAGGCCTTGAAATGGCAAGGTCGAGAGTCTTCTTGGCTGAGTGTGCTCGGGGCAGCATCTTTATTCTACATGTTCACCTTTGAGCTCTGCAGAGAAGAATTAGCTGTCCTCCTCCCCGCTTCCCCAACCCTCACCCGCATCCTGCTGGGCCCCCAGAGCCCAGCCCTCCCCGGCCAGCAGCCACCGCGCACCCTCCCCTCTGCCCCACCTCTGTCACGCACGCACAACTCCGCCACGCACACACGTATTTCCCAGCCTCACTCACCGGCCCATCGACTCACTCTCAGGCACCTCTGTGCACCACGCTCCCTGCGAGGCCCTGGGGGTATGGCGGGGACCGGACCCTGCATTCCCAGGCTGGTGGGGCAGATGCACACGAAGGAGGACACTGGAGTATGAATAACTAACTGCAGGCGTGATGACAGGAAAACCAGGAGAGACGGCTCTGGGGGCCGCGACCAGAAACTCAGTGCTTCTGGAAAGTCTCCTGGAGAAAATGACACCTGAGCCTGAAGGAAGAGCAGCAATGAACCAGGAAGAGTGGAGGAGAAAGGCAGGGAGGCGCGCTCAGGAAGACCAAGGGCAGCGGAGCTCAGTGTATTTCAAGAACCAGCAGCGGCCCGTGGGGCTGGAAGTGAGGAAGAGGAGGGTGGACAGGTAGCCAGGGGCCAAGCTATCGCAAGATCCCTGGGCCAGGTGAGGAGCTCGCGTTTTAGTCCAAGCCCCAGGGGAAGCCTGTGAAGGATTTTAGCTGGGCAGGCAGGGGCTCGGGGGAGGGGAGCGCAGCCGTGGGAACGTGGGAACACCAGGAAGGAGGCTGCTCCAGGCGTGCAGGCCTGGAGGAGGTGACAACAGCCGGGCATGAGACACGCTGGTAGGATCAGCAGGGCCCACCGAGGTCTGGCTGAGGGGAGGGGAGTGCCCAGGATCTCTGGCCCGAGCAAGAGAGTGGATGGTAGTGACATCATGGGGTGGGGCGGTGGGGGGCAAATCTCGGGAGGAAGGCAGTGATCTCCATTTCCGGCGGGCTAAGTTCAAGGCCATGGGACAGGCGGTCAGGGAGGCAGGGGGGTTTCCGAGGAGCCAGACTCAGGAAGAGTCTGAGCCGGAGGTGCTGCCGGGGTGTAAGGTGGGAGTGGGTGGGATCCCCTTGGAAGAGGAATAAGTTAAGGGGTTTCTGGGGATCCCGGTGTGTAAGAGCAGGCAAAGGGGCCAACGAGGTGAGGCCAGAGGACGGGGGCGGGGGGGGGAGGCCAGAAGAGTGGGCTCCCGCGGCAGCCGAGAACCGGAGAGCGTTTGGAGGCAGGAATAAAACCAACCAGGTCGCATGCTGCCGAAAAGTCAATGATGTGCAGAAGTGAACGGGTTTCAGGGTAGTTGTTAACTCTTCTCCCACTAAAATAAGCGGTCAGCAACTAGAGAACAGGAAGCATGACTGAGACATATTTGTGTCCACTACCCTCCCGGGGGAAGGGGCAAGAAACTGACACTGACCTGGGGAATGCACTCGCCCTCTGACTGTCGGGGAACCCGCCACGGCCGTAGGGAAATGAAATCCGTCCCTCCATTCCTTGATCCCCCTACCGGCTATCTGGAGGCACCCCGTGGCCTCTCGGTGGTTGTCAATAGCGCCACGGCAAGGCAAGCGTGTGACAGACACACGCTTAGGGGACACAGACATGAAGCCTCAACCCCAGCCGAACCCTTTCTAAATACCGTTGCAGTGAACAGGGCCTTCGTCCACAGATTACACGTCAGGCTCCTCCACCCCGGCTCCTGAGAACCCTTTCTACTGCCTAGGATCTCGGTACGGTTCCCACACCTTGTCTGCATCTGTCTGGCCTGTTGCAGCCTATTCTCGTCCCCAGACCTGAAGCCCACCAGGAGGTTCAAGAGAACGAGCAGGCTCCAGAGAGGGGGTGGGGAAGTAAGGGGGAGCAGACCTGCCCTCGCCCGGGTCTAGATAGAGGCAGGATCCAGGACTCCCCACCATCTCAGCCTCACCCTTAACACTCACATCTCCAGAGCCAACAGCACAGAGAGCCTGGGATTTCCATCCAAGGCTCTGCATTCAAAACCTGACTCTCCCACCCGCCAGCTACGTGACCACGGGCAAGTTACTTAAGTTCTCTGCACTTTGTAGCCTGGTAGCCTCGTCGGGAAAATCGGAAAATGATGATACATACTTGATGGGTGTGAGAGAAATGCTTCTATACACTGCTCAGCTAGTAATTAGTTAAGGAATTAATATGCTCTGGCTCAGGGTCGCCCATACTCCGACCCCCAGACACTTCCTCTGAGACTTTGGAAAGAGGTGGTATAAATAAATCCTGCTGTTTGTACTACTAAATAAAGAAGTCACACACACACACACACACACACACACACACACACACAGCCTTGACCAGAACCACTTCAAATACACCCAGGAGGGAAGCCGGTACCATTGTGTTTCCCCTACAGATAAATTTCAAACCAGACAAGAGTGCCAGCCCCTCCCAACCCTTTGTTCCGAGCGAGCGACTAGGCCTGGAGCCCCTACCTTCCTCCCAGCCATACACCCTGCTCCCCTGGCCCACTTCACCAACCCCCCCACACAACCCAACTCAAGGTGCCCCAAAAAGCATCCAAATGTGCTCCTCCTTCCCCTACCAAACAGAGGGACCAGAATGAGCACCCAATTTCTCAGACCCTTGCCTGCTGTCCCCTCAAGTACCTGGGGAACTAACCAGAATCTGGAGAGGCTGGGGGAGGGACGGGAGGTGAGTGCAGACAAGGGGAGAAGTTGCCCTTGTTTCATCAGCTCAGGAATCAGGGGTCTGGAGGGTCTCCTGGGTGGGCGGGTTCCCAAGGAAGAGGGTGGGGGAGGGGAACACTGGATGAGACCAACAAGTGGAAATGTCAGAGGTGGACCTCCAGGGCAGCAGGACCCGGTGTGGACCGGGCGGTGGGGGGGGAGGCCCTGGTTTGCGGGCGGGAGGCTGGGAAAAGTAATGTGTCCCATTGCGTTCACCTTGCCCCCACCTCCAAGACACACAAACACACTCACTCAGTCCCCTGCTCAAACCAACCATGGATTATCTGGGGTTAAAAGGAGGCCAGAGAGGAGAGAGAGAAGGAAGGGAGCCTGTCACAAAAACAAGACCCTTCTCCCCCCAAAGGCCTTTCAGAAATAAAATTAATGGAATGTGTCTCAGTACCATCCCAAGGGGACTGGGGGGGAGGGGTGGGGGGAATGTGGGGGCTTTTGTCCCGGCTGCCCAGCTTCTCCCACATTGATCACCATGGCAACCAAAGCCCCCTGTTGCCTAGGTGATGGCAGCCGGGTCCTGGAACCCGTACCCAGCATCCAAAGCGAGGGAGGTTGTGAAGGTGGGGGGGGGTTAGGGACAGAGGGGGAGAGAATGGGGTTTCTCCTCTGGCAGCCCCAGCTTTTGTCTGAGCCCTGGGATCAGGTTTCTTCAGGAAACAATCAGAGGCCTCTGGAAAAAATACACTCAGAACCTGGCAACAGGCAGAGGGAACAAGGCCTTGGGGGGGTGGGGTGGGGTTACAGAGGGGAAGGCTGGTGTTGGCCAAAATGCAGACTGAGACTGGACCCTTCCCCGTGGCCCCCCTCGGAGGCGCGGCTCAGGTGGACAAGGCGTTGGACAGAGACACGGGCACCCCAATGTGGGGCAGGTGCTGGGGACCGAAGGCCAGCCAGCAAGTGGCGAGGATCACAACCTCCTTCGCCTGCTCTCTGGACCGGGGCCACCCCACCACCCAGTCCCAGCTCCTTCAGGCCCGGGACGGGGACAGGAGGCGGGGCAGAGGTGAGGGTGGGGCTGGGGGAGTGACTCAGCCAGGAAAGCAAAGGTGCAGAGGGGACCGGACACAAACATGTACCTAAAAAGAGCACCTGTTATTCCTCATCTCTATGGAAGACGGGGCTGGGGGCAGCAGACCAGCTGCGCTGCGGAAGGCACTTGGGTTGGATCTTCCGGCTGCGGGGAGAGGACCAGACACCAATAGCTTTCCTGACTCTGACGGGGCAGAGCTCTTGATAGGCCCACTCTTGAAACAAACGGCCCCCTCTTCTCAGTCCGAGATGGGGAAGGCTGGTGCTGCCGGACACAAGGGAAGGGGCACGGTCCCCTCCGCGGACCCCTCCTGCAGAGCCATCT